GGAACATGAATTAATTCTAATCGTGGGGAAAGATTAGAAACCTTGGATTAATTTTCCTGCACACTTAGCACAAAAATAGATTAAACTCTTTTGAATCATGGTTTAAAATCATCATCAAAATACAAAGAGAACCTAACAGTGTATGTATTATAGTCTATATACTTGCATACTTGTACAAAAGGGTAGTTAAGGGATTCTATAGTATACCACATGTATATATATTCTCTTTTACAGTAATGAAAACCCTAGAGGCATTATCTTCTACATGCCATAAAACCAAAATGGAAGCCACATATATGACCTGTTTGAGACAGTTTGGTAGTGTTTTCACTTCAAACTTTTCTTGAATCAACTCGCCTTCCTTTTTAGTCAATTTGACTGCTAAGGCCTTCACCTAGATATTTGAAAAAAGGAAGAAAGGGGAGAATTTATTATAGAAAGATGAGCACCAAGGAAGTGGATGAGCAACTGATCAATGTCCAGAACAAGAACTCTTCCTACTTTGTGGAGTGGATTCCAAACTATGTCAAATCTAGTGTCTATGATATTCCACCCAGAGGGCTCTTAATGGCATCCACTTTTTTTGGGAACTCAACCTCCATCCAGGAAATGTTTAGGAGAGTGAGTGAACAGTTCAATGCGATGTTTAGGAGAAAAGCTTTCTTGCACTGGTATACTGGTGAAGGTATGGATGTAATGGAGTTCATAGAAGGTAAGAGCAACATCAATGATCTTGTGTCTGAATATCAGCAATACCAGGATGCTACTGTTGACGGGAAAGGTGAACATGAGGAGGAAGAGGAGGGAAGGGAGCACATGTGAAGAAAGCAATATAAGGTAGAACACATATGTACCATGTTATGTATGATATGATGCATGCGTATTTCTACCTGGTATGTGAGTGAAAAACCTTTTTCTAAGATTGTAATTGTCCTTGAAGTGCATCCGTAGAGAAAGGAGAATCACAATGTTCTCCCAGGAAAATAGTGAGATGCGGAGAGATATTAATGTGAGAGTGGGAATGTTTAGGTATATGTTTGAAAGCAGTTTATGTTGCACTTATATGTTTCGTTTTGTACCCTTTTTACTTCTCATACTGACAGTATCTCATATTATGATCAATGGTAAAATGTCCTGCATATTTTTGTTGTGCATGTTGGCTCCCTCTTTCTGAAAATTTGAACCCCAGTACTACTTGCCTAATTTTATGTTGGATTGTTATCCTTTGTAATTTACTTGAATTATATTTGATTTGGCGAATGTTGCGTACTAGTTATTATCTACACTCATTGAATTGTAATTTTATTGAAAATGTACCTATAAAAAAAAATAAAAATTCGAATCTATAATTGTCCGACATTTATTTCATGTTCAAGAACTAGATTACACAAGAAACAAAGATACTAATTGCATCAAGATTTGCACACTTAATCAAACACACAACAAGAACACCCATAAATTCCCTGCAGCGAAGCCTGAGGCCATAATGGCTAGTCCTCTGTCGCTTCTTCTATGATACGATGACCTCCCATGACCCAGATTGTGGTAAGGAATTCCCGGCTGTATTGTCCCAACTGCTTAACATGGTTTGCATGCTGGCATGAATGTGCTGCGTAGAGAAGCATCTCAATCCACATTGCCTTTATCAGCCCCCATTTATTTGTGATTTGGTTCAATTTTGTGGCCAAGTATCCTGCATATTTTGGCAGATTCTCCATCGCAGTCTGGGGACTTTAGGTGAAAAAAGGAAAACGTTTGTATAATTAAAAATATTGGTTAATTTAATTTTGTTTGTTTACAAAAAAAAAAAAATAATAATAAACTAACCTGAATTCGGGCAGATTCGACACCAGTGAATTGAAAGCAGCGTCCTTATTTGATACCAGAGAGAATGGGTCTCTGAGCTCATCAAGAGTATGATCCAACCAAAAACTCCTACAATCCTCAGGCAATAGCATAGCAGGTCGCATGACCAAGAGGTACATCATATAATCTGATAAATATTTGCTTCTCTCCATGTCTTCGTTGGGATTATTGGAATCCTGATTGTAACAAATACTTGTGGCCAGGTGCCAGATTATGATGCTAGCATCAAAGTCCACTTTGATGCTACATTCGAGGTCAGCACTTATATCAGATATTCCCTCGTTCAGTTCATCAAGCGTCTTTTCCCCCCTTGTTGCTTCAAAGTAACCACCCGAAAAGAAGGAATCTAGTCGCCCTTGGTAAACCTCTTTTGGCTTCAAACAGCTTGGAACTTCCACAACCCCGGTATGCTTGAACCTATGATAATTTTCAAGAATATCATAGCTACAGTACTTTTGTAGAAAGGTATAAACCCTGGCCTTCCTAGAATTCCAGTAATAATCCAACAAATCAAATTGTCTCATCCAAGCTGACCGCCTCTTCTGTTGACGTAACAAGCAAGGAAAGTATTGCAAGACATACCGGGGAATTTTGCGTCCCAAACAATTGCCATGCATTAAAATTATTGCCCAATCAGAGCAAAGAATTGAGAGCACAGCACAAATATCCAGGGCAACAGTTCCCACCAACAAGCTCATTGTTAAGCAAACGTCAACTGTTGCTATTTTGTATTTTATCAAATCCTTGAATGATATCAGGAAGAAAAACAAAATTCCAGTAGAAAGAGTGAAACTAATGAGGCGCAAGATGCATCCGTTCCTGGTATAAATGAAAGCAGCTTTTGTGTAAACAACATCAAATATAAACCCCAGTTCTACAACAGCTATGTCGAAATGAGTCAAACGACTTCTCCTCCTCCTTAGCTCGTCTCTTCCCAGCCAGTCTTTTAGAATTGACTTGACTTCATGGTTGGTTTTCCTTAGATAGGTTCGTATCCTCACCTTAAAGGACGCGGGATACTCCTTGTGGCAGAGGTAATCATTGACATCCGGTCTCATAGCAGTATACAATGCATAACCTAGGAGGACTAATTTTGATTCTTGATTTTCTAGTAAGGGCGGCTGAGATAGAAGATCAAGATTTTTAAAGACGGAGATGGTCTGCTCGGTTTTCATAGAGTTGGTGACTTTAAGACACAAAATCCTCTCTATGTATTTGCTGATTCCAACAAAATAGAGAGGCATTGTGAAAACAAGGATAAAAGTTAGGTCCGTCATTGACCAAATAATGACACAGAAGGCAAGAAAGCATTGGACAACTAAGGTGAGGAGATGTCTGGTCCAGAGCTGGGTATCATGAAAAGAAAAGGCAGTGATGGTATCAGGGCCACCGAGATGAAGTATAAGTAAGGGAGTCCATAGTGAAGTTAAAAGATTGGAGTAAAAATCAGAGGGAGTTTCTGCAGTGAAATTGGCATCTCGGTAATTAGAAAGCTTAGTTACTTTGGAATTAGAAAGCTTACCAAGAGCAACAATGCTGACCCAATCTTTGCTTAGGTAGGCAAACCAGAGAATCACTTTGTTGGTAAGGCTAACACTGTGCTTTCTACGCTTACCCAAGACAAAGAGAGCGATTTGTAAGAGCAGGCTCAAAAGAACCATCGCCCTCACATCCAGTGTGCGCCACAATTTTGAAATAAAGGGTTCAATTAATGGTCGTGGTAGTGGCAGTGGTGGAAATAGCGGTGGTAGTGCAATTGATAACGCTGGTGATGATGGAGCAATTAATGGTGGAAGTAGCGGTGGTACTGGCGGTGGTAGTGCACTTGATGGCGCGGCCTTCTCACTGTTTATACACATGCATATACCAAGCAACGTCAAAACATGAATCGAAAAAATGATCATAATTTTTTAATCTATTATTAGACAATTTACCGGACATACCTTCCAAACATTGCAGTTTGTGGATGGATGCGCGTTAATATTATAGTTTGGGTACAAGTCTTTCCAGTTTTTTTGGAATATGATATATGAACTGATTGATATTACGTATATATAGACAGGCATTCAATTCAAAAGATGGAGAACCCTTGACTACTTATGGTCAATGGCAGAACGTGTTGGCCCATCGTTGGGCACAGGTCTTACCATGGGCCAAAAGTTTTTTCAGTAAAACGACGAAGTCTAGCTATGTAGGCCCTAAGTGAAAGAATAAAACACATTTATTAATTTATATATTCTAACTTGTGCGACATGGAGCACATGTTAAGCTATATTAAATATATTATTTTGTAATAATTCTATATAAAAATATAAAAATAAGATTTTGTTTTTAATATTAATTCAATCAAATAATTTTAATTGAATAATTACTAGATTTCAAATAAATTTTAATTTTTTTTATAAATCAATTACCAAAAAATATAATTAATATATTTTTAAAAGACAAACCCTTTTTTTGAAAATAGGTCACGGAAAAGATAAACTCTTATTTTTTTTTAAAAAATAGCTTTTTTAATTTATGCTCATGTTAGAAGGTGTAATTAATATACACTACAAGAAAACTAGTTAACTGTGATGGGAAAATTAGTCACAAAAATTAAATTTTTTGGTCACAAATTATATTTACATCTAAAATTTGGTTGGTTATTGTCCGTTACAAATATTGAGTCACTAAAAGTAATAGTAACTAGTTTTGGAATTGTGACAATAAATCATGCTTTTAGTTACGGTGAAGATGGACATAATTACTATTGTATTTCTAATGATTTTTTGCGTCACAATGATGACTATTTGTGACAAAACAATTAGACACAAAAAGGAACCTCATTTGTAACATTTATAACTTGTCACAAAAGAAATTGTTTGTGATATAAAATTTGGTTACTAATATTAAATCATTTGTGACCTTTTTTTTTAATCACAACTAGAATTATTCGTGACTAAAAAAAATGAAACAAATACTATCATGTTGGTCACAATTAGGATTATTTGAGACCCAAAAACTTGTTACAACTATTATTATCAATGACAAAACAAAAAGGTCACAAATTGAATGTGCGACAAAGATTTTAGTCTTAAAAAAACATATCCCAAAAAATAAAAGAAGGCATTTTTGAAAATTCAATAAATACTAGTATTCAATGATTTCGTTACTAAAATAACAA